CCCTCCCCCCCCCCCGCCGCCGCGCCTTTATCGACGGTCCCTCCAGCGCCCTTCGTGTCGCGCTGGGTGCAGCACCTCCGCGACGTCCCCTAGGCCGAAATCCCGCCCGGGCTCTCGCGAGAGCAGCCGTCTCTTCCGGCTCCCGGCATGCCCTGCGCTTCCTCTTCCCCGAGGGAGCTATGGCGGTCGGGGAGCGGTGCCGATCCGGCCCCATCCTGTCCAGGGCGCCCCGGGGAGGTGATGAGGGGGCGAGGGCTTGGTCCGCCTCGCCGGACTACCTCGGTATTTGCGGGGTTGGCGCGGGGGAGGACGGGTAGGGGATGGAGGTGGCGGAGTTCGGGAGCGGCTGGCTGGGTATGAGGTGGAAGGAGGCCCTGCTATGGCGGTCGGGGAGCGGTGCCGATCCGGCCCCATCCTGTCCAGGGCGCCCCGGGGAGGTGATGAGGGGGCGAGGGCTTGGTCCGCCTCGCCGGACTACCTCGGTATTTGCGGGGTTGGCGCGGGGGAGGACGGGTAGGGGATGGAGGTGGCGGAGTTCGGGAGCGGCTGGCTGGGTATGAGGTGGAAGGAGGCCCTAGGGAGAGGCTGTGGCTGCGGTGATGACTTTCTTAGGACACCTTTGGATTTAATTGTGAAAAGAAAGCGTAATATCTGAGCAGCTTCTTCAGTAAGGTGAACGATCCCAGGTTCTGCAGATCTGTGTTAGAAACTTAGTATGTTTTGGGTTTTTTTAAATTGCTTTTTTGCAGTTGAGCTCCAAAGATGGTGCGCTACTCTCTGGATCCGGAGAACCCCACGAAATGTGAGTTGTTTTTTGTGAACGTTCGCGTGGGATTCCACCGAAGTCATTGAGGTTTTCATGCCAAATGTTGGACTTTTTTTTCCACAGCATGCAAGTCACGGGGATCCAACCTGCGAGTGCATTTCAAGGTACGCAGTGTGTGTCCATAGTAGGAAATGCAAATTCATTTAGGTTTGGGGTTTTTTTTGTTGTATGTTTTTTTGAAGGAATTGTCTTTTATTCTGCTGTATCGTTACATAGTTACTTAAAGGTCGTAGTGTAGGTTATGGCCTGTGTTTGTTTTAGCTGCTTGTAATGGTTTTCATTCACAGGATCAAAAATAAGATGGTGTGTCCTGAAACACTTCTTGTCTAACACAGATAATAAAATACAGTAGGAAAACAGTTGCAGTGAATTTAGGAGGAGGAGTTGGACTGATGTTAGACAAGAGATACGTTTCATTTGTCTTACTTTGCCTTTTTGGTTGTTTGGGAAGAACATGGGGTTGATCTGCTTGTGCTGCTGGTCAAGTATGGCGGGGGAGGCTTGCAGTGTTTGGCGTGAGGATGTAGGTTCCTCTGTAAAAAGTTTAGGTGCAGGAGTGAATTCGGGACATGTTCAAGTTAACCACAAAACCCCAAAGCTGAGTAGATGATTTTCTACTAGGTGAAGAGATTTCCCTTACTTTGGTTTGCTCTTGAATCGGGTAGCGTTACAGTTACTTTCTGGCTTTCACATTTAGTATGCTGTCTTAAGCACTGATCCTTTATTCTTAATTTTTCTTTCTGAGTCTTTTCTCTCCCCTTTATAATTCCCTTACGGAGATGATTACCTTGTTTATATCATGTTTGTGTATCTTGTTTTCTCATGGATTCCTCTGAGGTGCTGTATGTGACATTTTAGTAAGAATTTCTATTTCAGGCACCTGCTTTTTTGGATTAGTGGCCAAAGAGGAGCTATGAAAAGTATAAATACACAATTTTAAATTTTGCTGGTTTGAAAGGTCTAGCCATAAGGTGAAAAACAATAAAGATGTGCCAGAGCTGCGAATTCAGTAAAGGAAGTCATACCCAGGGTTAGAAAAGTTGGTAGTCAATTAAAAAAAAAGCATTGTTAATTATTCCTCATTCTTCAAAATTTTTTTTTTTTTTTTTGTGAGAGGGCTTCTTTTAAACTGAGCTTGTAGCAAAAAGAATCCAGGAAAGGGAGAGGAGTGCTTTTATTCCTGTTGCAACTTTGAAAGATGTGTTACAAGGAACTTTTATGTGCTCTTGTGTTGCTAGAACACTCGAGAGACGGCCCAGGCCATCAAGGGCATGCACATCCGCAAGGCCACCAAGTACCTGAAGGACGTCACCCTGAAGAAGCAGTGTGTTCCCTTCCGTCGCTACAATGGGGGAGTTGGGAGGTGCGCCCAGGTGAGGTCTGAGATGGAAACATGGGAAGGATGCTTTGGCTGTGGCTAGTTATGGGAGAGGAGGTGATGTTGAGGCAGCACGGAAAAGTCTGTTGTTGCGAATGATAATGTTGTATTAAAATGTAAGAGGGAGAAAAAAGTTAGGCTTAATTCCAGTACAACAAGCATTGCATCTAGTTGCAGTGTCAAGTAATTGATGAAATTGTGTTATTTTTGGTATGTGAGCCTCCTCAAAGGGGATGTAATGGCAAGTTAATGGTGTGTAAAGGGCAAGTTGGTTTGTACCAGGACAAATAGGGAACTTTCTTCTTCTTCTAGGCTAAGCAATGGGGCTGGACACAGGGACGATGGCCCAAGAAAAGCGCGGAGTTCTTGCTGCACATGCTCAAAAACGCAGAGAGCAATGCTGAGCTCAAGGTAGGCTGTGTAGACGTTCATAGAATCACAGGATGGTTTGGGTGGGA